GTATTGCGGTCACGTGATCAAAATTATTTTTAAAAAAACAAAAACTAGGTACCCCCAAAAATTCGGTATACCTAAGGTTTAAATATATTTTTCATAAATGCAAAATCCTTTTTGAAGCTTACCTCTAGCTTCAATTGAAAGCTAAAGGATTAAATTTTCTAATTACAGAAAAAAAATACCGTGGAGTATTTCAAATAGAAATTTGAATGATTTTTAGTCGATTCTTCAGAAAAACCAATCGAAACGGCCATTTTTAAATTTTTTAGAGAAATTTAGACAAAACTTATTTTTTCCTTTTTGAAAATCCCGCTAAAATGAGATATACATTTCTGAAACGTTACTTTTATAAAATTAGCAAATTTAAAGTTAAATTAATCTGCTCTGAAAAAAATATGACTTATAGCATAAAATTTTCTAGATAAACATTTCTTGATGTATTGCTGTATTGTTATTTTCACGTCTCCATCGATTTGATGGCTGAATGTGTTGACAGGTTTAGTACGGTGCACCAAAATTGACATAACGTTTTTTTTTGTTTGTTTCTTATAATAATTTAAAATACTATAAAAATTTCTTACATCACCAAGTTACCTCTATAATGGTATTTCATTATTTAATAGCTAAGACAATGATAAATAATTTTATTAACTATTAATATTACATTAAGTTATTACATTTGTAATTTAATAACTGAGATAAAGACTAATAAAATTATTATCATATTAATAATTAAAATATCTCACTCACTTATTAATTGTTTAAATTGATAAATGAGATAATAAAATTATCTAAATTTAATTTTTAATTTAATAACTGAGAGTGACATCAGTCGAAGACGTTTACATGTCAAGGTGTCTTCCCTAAGGAGGAGACAACCCTTGAAACACGTGACCTTTTAACAATAATGTCACTTACAAGATATCATACTAAAAAAATATAACATTTTGATGTACAAAAAACATCTTTAATTATAATAAAAACTTTTGGTAGCATTATTTGTATTAAGCTTTTAATTTTCGCTTAACAAATATAGTCTTCACTTAAAAACTTGATAACCTACTCCATACTCTGGTTGGAAGAATTTTAAAACATTTTTTAAAATTAAAGAAAAATGAAAAAAACTAAACGAAAAATGCAAACATTTATTGTAAGAATTCTTTATTCATCGAAAATCTTTTTTTCTTCACATAATAATGTCCTTAATGTATATTATTTATAAAAGCAAATAAAAGCCTATCTAATTCGATAATTAGATTGTTTATTGCAGTTTTTATTTTACGATTTGGAGCAGATTTTTAAAAAGTTGGCAGTAGTTGTAAAAAAAAAATTGATGATTTAATATCGTCAAGGAGTCCTGCTTTTAAGTAATATAAAACAATTTGCAAACTGCTTAAAATTATAGAAAATTTCATAAAATAAATTTGGGGTGGGGGTAACAGGTGTAGAAAAAGTATTTTTACCAAGATTTTCTAAAAATAAAAATTTTAAAAAAAAATTCCTTCATTTTTGAATAAGTCCTGAAAGTTTCATTAAAATCAAACAATTTGATTTTTGCAAGAATTTCCAAATTTTGTTTTTTTAGAAAATTTTGTTAATTTTTTTTTTTTTTTTACATATTTTATCCTCATCCCCGCACTTACTTAATTTCATGAAATCTCGAGAAATTAAATTTCAGTCTCAAAATTTGTTTTATTAGTTAAAAGCAGGACTCCTTAGCGAATTTAAATCATCAGTTTTTTGTTTTTTTTTTGGGGGGGGGTTGTTTTTTGTAAAACAGGACTCCCAGTAACCGAAAATCCGCTCGGAAACGTAAAATACAAAAATCAACAAAAATATGAAGTTATTTAATATAAAAAAAGGATTTAATTACTTTTATAAATAAGAAAATACATTTTGATGAATAATGAATTTTCCCTAAATTTGTTTTCATTTTTTTTTTTTTTAATTATAATAATTTTAATCGTTCAAAATTCTGTATTACTTCAATCTGTTTAGGTGATATTGTTATTAAGTAAAAACTATATGTACGAATCAAAAAATGAAAAGTTTAATAAAAGACGTTTATCCCTAATTTTAAAAAATAATTTTTAATTTTTTTAAACGTAGAAACATTCCAATTTTCATAAGTATAAACACCCGTCACAGAATTTTTAATTTTAATCAGTTTTAAGAATTCTCCTCGCTAAAAATCTGATCGTCTGCAATTCTTTCATTTTTGTGTTTCATCGTGTTTAGCTCCCAACAGGCTTTGCAAATCAACCCTTCAAAACTTCAAACTTGAAAGTTATTTTTTACATTTTTTTAATTCCTATTTCACTAAATATTTTTATTTTATGTATTTATTTTAGTGTGGTCATACCTCAGTTAAGTAACCTGGCGATGAAAGCAACATAATCCTACTAAAAAAAAACAAACAATTTTTTTTACTTTTTAACTTAATTAAATTTTTCTTATTCAATTTCTATTTGAAATTCTTATGTTTTAATTCGCGCGTCATTTTGAAATTTCCTTTCAAATTATTTTTACTTTAACTCCTATTTCATAAAAATGTTTTTTGTTAGTAGTTTTTTTTCAAATTTTGGCTTATTTTTAAGTTTATTTTTTGTGAGAGTTATTTTGATAAAAACGTAAGACTATAAATAAATATATTAGTAACTAACATTCAATAGAATTTTAGACAATTGCTGAAAATATGTTAATTTTTAAAAATTACTAGGTAGTTAGAAACAAAAAAAAAAAACTTTCATTTTTATTTCGTAAATTTTTATCAATTTCTGATCAACTATACTTAGCTTTTCAACACCTTAGGTTGCTAATCAATCGATTAATATGTCAGAAAAACAAAACCCTGTGGTTAAGAAATGCTGGTATACTAAGTTTTAAGCTATAAGTAAGTAATGTTTGCTTAAGATTAATTCGATTTCTAATTTGCTAATTTTCCTCAAATAATGTGTCACAAATATATATTTTATTTTTGGAAGATTTTTAAAACCGAGAATTATCTTTTGTTTACAAATCAATCAAAATGGCCGATGTTTATCGATTTTCTGAAAGTGACCAAAAAGTTGAGATTCAAATTAAAAGAACGCTTTTTCATTTTAAAAAATTCATTTTAAACCTTAGGTTTGGAAAATTTAATGGAGGTACCTACACTTATCAGACTGGGCGTCATGATATGTATATTGGTTTATTTGTAATCTGGTTTCACTATGATGACGTGCTACTCTCTCACGTATTCAATAATATAAATAATAATGATACTGTGCGTCTGAAAAATGTCACTTTTATCGCAGTCGCCATCACATCTCGGGCAGGATCAAAGTGTAGTATCTACCCTCAGGCGGATAAACTAGATTTCATCTCTCAGTTGTGGTTCTGTCTTCAAACGGAGCGCAAGTCATTGTGTCTGGGTCTGAGAACCAGACTGAAAATACTATTGAGAGGCACCCGGTCTCGGGAAACGGCTGCCCGGAGCTGTACCACCTTCATTGCACTAACGAGTGCAGGGGAAATCGGTTTGTAATACCGATGCCAACACAACCTACGGTTGCGGGAGTTGCGTTATTTTTTTAGACCTGGTCCGAGTGTATACGTCGGTCTCCCCCACATTAAACAGGCCTTGTGTCACACCTTGCCAACGTGAGGTGGCAAGAAAGTACAATCGCTTCTCGCTCTTTTGGTTGTGATTAAATTGTAATCCTGCCCTGTCTCACCTATTTCAATTCCGTATCGTTCTACATTACAGCACCTGGCAAACAGTCACCACTTTGGTGTTGACCAGGCTCGACGTTGCTTAACTTCGATGATTGTACGAGAACCGGTGTTTTAATGTGATATAACCATAAACTCAGAGTGTGTCTATATTTCTGAGATGAGGTATTATGTACATTATTTACATTATTCGGACTATTGTCCTCATCTTTGTCGCCATATTTATCACAACGTTTCGGCCGTTGTACACTCCAGCCTTCTTCAGGTGGTTGGAATGTCGAACTGAACCATTTATTTCGCTCACTGGGGTAGACTGTTCTAGTTTGATGGATGTCAGTTATCAGTTATCTCCTGTTAATTTTCCCTCTGAAAGTTCTCCACTGCCTTATCCGGGTATTGAACTCACACTCTTTGGGTCCTGTCACTGGATCTAACCAACGCCTTCATCCACTGTGCCATGAGGACATTCTGGGTATTATAAACCTAATGTCTTCAGCAACCATTTTTACCAGTGCTCATATTGCAATTTTGCTGTTATCATTGCATGTTTTTACCAGAGCTCATATTGCAACTATGTTGTTATCATTGCTTTTCTCTGGCACTCCTTATTACTGGTTCCCATATTGTATTTCAACTCCCACCATCCATACAGCGTAAAGAAAGGGATCGACCTGAAGAAGGCCGGAGCGTACAACGGCCGAAACGTTGTGATAAATATGGCGACAAAGATGACAACAATAGTCCGAATAATGTAAATAACCATAAACTCTTTACACCGCCTGCACATCCAAACTTACGACACCTGGTATTACCGACCACCTATCTTGGTACAGACCAGGCTCGACGTTGCTTAACTTCGGAGATCGTACGTGTTTCAACGTGATATGGCCGTAAATCCTTTACGCAATCTGCACATTCAATTCGATATTCCCAAGCGGTCACCAATCTTGACAAGTGACAACGTTGTTTAACTTCGGTGAGAAGTGTTTTTTCAAAGTAATGTTGCCAAAAACATCCAAGCTTACAGCTCCTGATCACCTGTCTTGGTACTGACCAGGCACAACGTTGCTTAACTTCGGTGATCGTACGAGAACCGTTGTTTTAAAGTAATGTGGTTGTAATCCCTTTAGACCACGCACACATCTAAGGTTACAGCTCCTGGCATTCGCAAGCGGTCACTCATCTTGTTACTGACCAGACACAACGTTGCTTAACTTCAGTGATCATAAGAGATAAGTTGTTTAAAATAATGTGGCCGTAACCACTTTAGACCTCGGGACCAACTAAGGTTACAGCTCCTGGTATTCACAAGCGGGCAACTATCTTGGTACTGACCAGGCACAACGTTGCTTAACTTCGGTAATCGTACGAAAACCGTTGTTTCAAATAATGTGACTGTAATCACTTTAGACCTCGCGCCTATCTAATATTACAGCTCCTGGTATTCGCAAGTGATCACCCATCTTGTTACTGACCAAGCACAACGTTGCTTATCTTCGGTGATCATAAGAGAGAAGTTGTTTTCAAGTAATGTGGCCATAAACACTTTAGACCTCGGGTCCATTTAAGGTTACAGCTCCTGGTATTCGCAAGCGAACACCCATCTTGGTACTGACCAGGAACAATGTCGCTTAACATTGGTGATCGTCAGACATACGTTGTTTAAGAGTAATGTTGCTGTAACCGCTTTAGAATTCGCGCCCATCTAAAGTTACAGCTCCTGGTATTCGAAATCGATCACCCGTCTTGATCCTGACCAGGCACAACGTTGTTTAACTTCGGTGATCGTACGAGAACCGTTGTTTCAAAATAATATGGCCGTAACCCCTTTAGACCTCGCGCCCATCTAAGATTACAGCTCTGGGTATTCGCAAGCGGTCACCCATCTTGGTACTGACCAAGCATAAGGTTGCTTAACTTCGGTGATCGTACAAGAACCGTTGTTTCAAAATAATGTGAGTGTAACCACTTTAGACCTCGCGACAATCTTAGGTTATAGCTCCTGGTATTCGCAAGCGGTCACCCATCTTGGTACTGACCAGGCACAACGTTACTTAACTTCAATGATCATAAGAGATATGTTGTTTAAAAGTTATGTGGCCGTAACCCCTTTAGACCCCGCGCACATCTAAGATTACAGCTCTTGGTATTCGCAAGCGGTCACCCATCTTGGTACTGACCAAGCACAACGTTGCTTTACTTCGGTGATCGTACGTGAATCGGTGTTTCAACGTGATATGGCCGCAAGCTATTGTTCTTTTTTCATTTCTCTTTAAACAAAAAATTGAAAAGAAGAATCTATTATTGGCTAATAGAATCATAATTAGCCCAAATTCTTTGCTCTTGGAGTCAAAGATCAACGGCTGATTGCTTAACGGTAATCAAATTGTCCAAGTACAATGAACTGAATATTTGTTTTTATGAGGTCTTAAGTCGCAGTCTGTGATACTTCCACGAAACAAATCTGGGACTGATTTCTTTTCCAGCTGCTCTCTAATCATCCGCCATTTTGATTTTTCTTTTCTTGATGCTTTTTTTTATTGAGTCATTATTTACCGTTTTTCTAATTTCCTTGTTAATTATAGAAAGTAATTAACTTAAGACGAATAACAATTGCATCATTATGCAACTGTTAATTAATGGCTTTCTCATTAGTAATGCGCCTCCACTACAAACATATATATAGATATATTTATTTCTTTAATCCATCATATTTTTATTACGTCGAACGTGATTTTTAGTGGTTGCCCCTATTTAAGTAGACGCTCCGTTTTTGTTTAGTTTGTTTTGTTTTGTTTTTTTATAAAAAAAAAAAACGAAAAATACCTAGAATTCTTTAGAAATTGCTTTCTTTACGTTTCGAACACAAAACTGAGCTTTCGAGAAAATCTGAACGCATGAGAATGCTTTGACGCAAATCGAACCTTGCTTGACTGTGAATCTCTTCGTAGCCAAGCGGTGCAAGCATGCCGGATAATACATTGGTTTCTTCCGCAGGGGGACACGGGGGTCAAATCCTGACGTAGGGCCAATTTTTGATTATTAAGTTCGCTTGAGTGCGCATGCCAGCAGACGAAATATACACTGTCTAAAAAAAAAGGAGCGTCTACTAAAACACGGGTAACCACTAAAAATAACGTTTTAAGAAATAAAAATATGTTAATCAAATTATGTGTATAGCCTGACGATTGCGCTAAAGCATGAAACAGACTGTCGCCACGGAGTGTTGTTTACAATTTTCCCTTTGATATTTAAATATGCTCTATCCCTGATATTAAGCACTTTAACTCATGAATATAGCATGTCTTAAAACTATATTTTATCATTCATATATATATATATATATATATATAATAAACCGGTTTGCAATTAAAGCATAATGAAAAAATTACGGTAATGGAAAACAACGCACATCTTTATATAAATACTTATACTAATGAACAACATATAGATTTGTACTACTTGCACCCCTGAAGATGATCTTAGAAGAAGATCGAAAGTACTTGGAAAATGAGAATAAAATAAATTTAAACAGCTATAGCACATTTCTCTTATCCTTTAACATCAATACACGGAAGGTTATTCGTGAGTATGAACGGATTTTATTAAAAATTAGCATACATAATGTTTGTATTTTATTCAATCAGACATGTCTAAAAGAGAATTTGCTGCCTAAATATACAAATATATATATATATATATATATATATATGTGTGTGTGTGTGTGTGTGTGTGTGTATGTGTGTGTGTGTGTGTGTGCGCGCATGTGTTCTTATTCTATAGTCAGTCTTTTTTCAGAAATTTATGAATAAAAAAATTATCTTCATAGGTATTTCGCTATAATATGGGAAATAATAATTTTTTTATTTACTGATGGTTCACCCAATACAAGGCTCAATTTTTTCAATGTAGAGGTTTACCGATGGAAATTGTAAGGGATTGGAAAAAGGAAAGTAAGAATGTATTATGAGGACGAGTACGATAGATATCAATTGACTTAAAGAGACGAAGATTATAATTTTCAGGGAAAGCATTCTCTCGGGAGTTTCTTCTAAGGAAGAAGCTATCTAGGTGGAACTTGCTTTTTATCAAAAGAACTCGATCGTAATGGAGACGGTTTGCTATTGTGAACACAGCAGGTCGAGTCCTATTGTAGTTGGTTCAGATATTTTCATAATCTTGTAATTCTATATAATAAATGCGAATGTCAGTGTGTCACCATATCACACATTTTCAAATTTACTCCGAGAGGCCGTAACCCAACATATCATATCATTTTGAAATCAAACAGACTCCAATGAGCAAATCAAAAAAAATTCCGGGCAAAATCCGGACCCCCAATTCGGAAATTTGGGATTTCCAAGTTTTCATTAATGCGATTGTTCTCCATGATATTTTGTACGATAACAATTTTTATAACTTAGAAATCAATTTGGGAATAATCGAAAGTAATTGTAAAATGTTGCAAAAGTCAGCTATGTAATAAACGCAAATGTTTGTGGTGGAAAGTAAGGTTTTATCGTCCATCAGACAGAATTTTAAATTTTGGCGACCGGAGAATTATCGTTGAACTTTTTAGAAGGTGGATTTAACTATTAATGCAATACTTAAATGCAGCGATTTGGGTTTTTCTGTAGTTTATTGCTGCCCATCGTATCTACTCCTCCCTATTGTGATGAAGACCCAATCAAGAGCCCTCCGCGGGAGCTAGTCTAAATGCCTCTTGTTAGCTATTTCTATACGTGATTTTTTTGCGACGAATTTTTTGTATGATAACAATTTTTATAACTTGGAAATCAATTTGGAAATAATCAAAATTCATTGTGAAATCCAGCAAAAGTCACGCATGAAATAAAAATAATTGTTTGTACCTGTCTATATTTCTGAGATGAGGTATTATGTACATTATTTACATTATTCGGACTAACGTCCTCATCTTTGTCGCCATATTTATTACAACATCTCGGCCGTTGTACGCTCTAGCCTTCTTCAGGTGGTTGGAATATCGAACTGAACCCTTTATTTCACTCACTGAGCTAGACTGCTCTAGTTCCACGTGCCATGTTTAATGGATGTCAGTTATCAATTATCTTCTGTTAATTTCCCTCTGAAAGTTCGCCACTGCCTTAGCCTGGTATTGAACTCATACTCTTTGGGCCCTGTCACTGGATCTAACTAATGCATTTATCCACTGTGACATTTGTACGGAAAGTAAGGACCTACGTACATCAAATTGTCTTTAAATTAAGTGGTGGCAGAATAATTATCGTTGGACTTTTAAGAGGTAAGCTTAAATATTAAAGCAATACTTAAATTCAGGCATCAATTTGAGTTCTGTAGTTTATCGTTGCCTATCGCATCTACTCCTCCCTTTTTTGATAAAGGCCCAATGAAAAGCCCTTCGCATGATATAGGGATTGACCTCACAACCACTATATCACCAAATTCAGAAAGCCAATGTTTACACGGTCCTAGAATATATTCATCTTTTCACCACAAACAAAGGTGATAATTCCACTAAGATGCAAGTGGGGTGGGGTGCTGAGAGTGGAAGAGAATGAGAAGACTTTAAGAGGGAGAAAGAACAATAAAAGAACAGGATTAAGATGGCGATTGTCGTTGCATTTAAAATTTGGGAAATTGTATGTGGCGGGGAAGCAAAAAGTCGGAAGCAAGTTCCACGGGTGAGAAGTGCGAGTGAAGGAACTATTAGAATAGAACTTACGGTTGCACCCAGCTATTTCAACATAAAAACAATTTTTAATTGCCAATCTAGTAACACGCTTAAATTCACGCGGTCGAGATACCAAGGATGAAAGCTCACCAGAACGATTGACATAGAAATTATTTATGGAAAAGGCACAGGGAAGCCATGCGACGACAGTGGAAAAGATGACTGAAGCCGAGATGCCGGCACAAGACTGATAATATTGCAAATCCTTCTTAGGATTTTATTAAGAATCTCTAAATATATAGCAGAAGCACTAAACCAGATGTAGTAGCAGTATTCGATGCATGGACGAACGTTTCCTTTACAAATGTACAAGATGTATTTTAGTGAGAAAAATTATCTGGTACGACAAAATGAACCAAATGTCTTAGCAGTAGACATAGCAATTGATTCAATATAATCATTACTCTTCAAGGAAGGCGCAATGTGTCGCTTTCATGGAGGTTAGCATCAGCCATGCTGATGGCGGGCAGAAATTGTTGTACCTTATATTATACATAAGGGTTCAAGAAAAGTATTTTATAAAAAAGACCTTTACTCCAAAGCTTTTTTCATATGCACATCTAAAGTCTTTATACGGTTACTCGATATTAATAATATTTTCATTGAATGAGGGAGCAACACGTCAACAAAGTGATGATTGGATACAAATATATGAAATCCATTATGCTAGGCATGAGACCTAATTTATTAAAAGTATATTAGGCACATGACCCATAGCCAAATGTTCACAATATGGTGACAGGTTTTGATAAAACAGGCACATAACCTTGCGGGTGGGTTCGAGATTAGAAATTCGATCCCGGTAATCCAGTTCGATCAGATGGTCTCCAAATTAAGGTAATCCCAAATACCTAGATGTGACTCCCAATTCGCCTTTTGTCATATAGGAAGAAAATGAGTAACTACCGACACCGAGGTTCGAGCATGACACTCTGGACTTATGAATATATGTTTTCCGCCAGGTGTATAAATAGTGGTGTCAGGCTACTGACTGAAGTGATTATAGAGTGGAACTATCCAGTCGAATTAGTGTGAATTATTTGTGGGTCGATGATTTGGGCTTTGATTTAGGATTTACCGGACGTTAAGCGGAGGCGCGCTACTAAACAAGGTATTCACTGAAATGTTTAATTATATTTGGTTGACATTTACTTCATTGTCCTTATTAAGTATTTATTTGCGGATGTAATTAAATAAATAATGAACAAGAAATAATTTTGTCAAAAATATGAAATCTGGTACAGCAGACTGTCATATATGAAGAAAATCTGTAACTACCGACACCGAGGTTCGAGCGTGACACTCTGGACTTATGAATATATGTTTTCCGCCAGATGTATAAATAGTGGTATCAGGCTACTGACTGCGGTGATTATTAAATAACTATTGAGTGGAACTATCCAGTCGAATTAGTGTGCATCAGTGAGCGTCGATGATTTGGGTTTTGATTTAGGATTTACCGGAGGTTAAGCCGAGCTGCGTTACTAACAAGGTATTCACTGAAAATGTTAATG